GCAGTTTCGGCCATGGCTCCATTCCCAAAAGTCGCAGTCGTGTCTATCGAACGGCAAACATCAAAGGAAAGCAGGCCCAAAAAGGATACGATAGGAATGAAGAGAGGAGGAACAAACAGTAACGAATGCTCGCGGAAGCGCAGGGCTACCGGTACATATGTATGTAAGTTTTAAATGAGGAATAATGGTTAGGGGAGAAAAACTGCGGCAGCTGTACAATCAATCAATGTTTAATGTTTAGGTGGATTCGGAGATAACTTGATGATCGAGGATGCCTCGTTCCGAGAGACACGGGGAATCTCGAGACAGCCGGGTGGAAGAAAGCGATATCGGCTCCGAGCCATGTACCTTGTGTGCTCGTACATACAGACAGATCCACACAAAGCTTGACCTCTTTCCAGAGCTCAGGAAAATAATCAAACTTCGGGTCGCCGTGCCGCGTTCTCCCACTGCTTTTCATCAAGCTCCATACAACCATTCCTATGTATGCCGTTTAGAACGGCTAGTCCAATCCTTCTCAATTATTTCCGATGCGGCTTCTCAAGACGGGAGCGTTTGTGCGTGCCGCTCAAGCTGCCAGATTGTCAATTCCTGGCTGTTCAAGGGCTCCTACCTCATCCCCAGTCGTGGTAGCATCGAGATGGGCGTCCTCCCAGGCTCAAGCCCAAGCTGCAACCGAAGAGCAATCCTTCCCCCAACAATCTGTCAATCTTGTAAACGAGGTCGACCCGGCAAAGACTGGTGCGGCATCAAGCCAGAGCGGAGATCATGTCGAGTTTGAGAGAAAGCTGCAAGAGTTGGGCCAGGAGAACAAAATAGTCCACGACAATGGACAATCTGGAGCAAAGATCTTGGGTTCACCGTACATTTTCGATCAGACCTCAAATCTCTCCAGCTCCATCCTAGACCTCGTCGGTCGTAACCTCTACGATCATCCTGACCACCCCATCTGTATTACGCGGAAGCTCATAGAGTCATGTTTCGAAGAATCGACGTTCAAACACTTCGCGATGGGGAATCCGGTCGTCACAGTCAGAGACAATTTTGATATCCTAGGTTTCCCTGCGGACCATCCAGGCCGTTCAAGGACAGATACATACTATGTCAATTCGTCTCAGCTCCTGCGCACACATACTTCTGCACACCAAAACGCCGCATTTAAGTGGCTCGCAAAGAATCCTTCGAGCAAAGGGTACACCATCTGTGCCGATGTCTACCGCAGAGATAGTATCGACAGGAGTCATTTTCCGGTCTTCCACCAAATGGAAGGTGCCCGAGTTTGGGAAGCCCAGCAGAACCGAGCCGCTCAGATCGAGCGGGACTGTGAAGAGATGCCCAAGACTGGTCTCGTTGTAGAAGACCAAGCCACCGACTTCACAGGAACTGCAAACCCCTTGCAACCTGAACATGACCCCGCGGAAGTGCAACAAGTCGCCAGACATCTCAAACTGAGCCTCGAGTATCTTGTGAGCCGCATCCTCGAGGCCTCTCGACAATCGCTTCCCTCCGCTGCCAGAACCGACGCCCCCATGCAAGCTCGCTGGATTGAAGCCTATTTCCCCTTCACGTCACCCTCTTTCGAACTGGAGGTCCTGTGGCATGGAGGAGAATGGTTAGAGCTGCTGGGAAGCGGCGTCGTGAAACAATCCATACTAAGCAGAGCAGGACTGAATGACCATATCAGCTGGGCCTGGGGTCTAGGCATTGAGCGCTTCGCGATGCTCTTGTTTGGTATTCCGGACATTCGTCTGTTCTGGTCCACCGATCCAAGGTTTTTGAAACAATTCACTCGTGGAAAGATCACCAAATTCGAACCATTCAGCAAATATCCTGCCTGCTACAAGGACATTGCATTTTGGATCAAACCAACCCCTGCAGCATCATCACCGCTCGTTTCACAACTAGCGCACGCGACCTCAGGTGTTGCTGCTGCTGCGGGGGGAGACGCCACAAAAGCATCCCCGACAGAAACTCAGCCTGCTGCATTCCACGAGAATGATATCATGGAAGTTGTACGAGACGTGGCAGGCAGTCTAGTTGAAGACGTGAAACTAGTCGACGAGTTCGTGCATCCCACCACAGGGAGGAAGAGTCTCTGTTACCGGATCAACTACCGAAGTCTCGAGAGGACATTGACAAACGAAGAAGTCAATGGATTGCATGAAGAAGTCGGCCGCAGAATGAAGGACCTATTGGGGGTTGAACTTCGTTAAATTGTTTCCGACCTCGTCGCCCGCCCGCGATCTGTTCAGTCAGGTAACCACTGCCGTCGCCGAGTGAAGGAGCTCACGAAGCCGCCGTCTACTGTTGTTCACCCAGCTGGCGGCCAGCGGGTTATCATGACAGGTAAGAACCCCGACCCGCATTTGCGTCTCATCCCCAGATATCTCTCTGTGATCCAATGATGAACTGCCTAAATCATAATTGTTTCAACCCCATATGATCAACCGACTTGATTATACTGTGCATTTGCCTCTTCTGAATCTTTAACGGATTAGCAAATTTCTCTCTTTCCGGTTTCCTCGTCGCGCAGATTACCCATTCGCTGATGCTGACGATCGCCTTTTGGGGACAGACAAGCGGTTTTCGCACGACGACAATTCCTCGATCCCACTCGACCCATCATCTTGGGAGGTCCATCATCCCGCCTGCCTGCCTGCCTGAGGAGCCAACCAACCAGCCAGCCAGTATTTGATCTATGTATGCCATGGGAACGGGATGGCCACCGCGCGTGTGCCCTTGAACCCTTCAACCCTTCAACCCTTCAATCCTCCAAAATATACCCACTCCCATATCAAGGAAAGACGGGAATGGTCTTCGCGAAAAGATATAGGTATAGGCCTATGTATAATTATTATACTTGTTCCTGTACTTGTACTTGTACTTATACTGTATTACTACTTATCCCACTACTTCCGCTTTCTTCAAAACCATTAAATCTTCCATCACTGGAGATGTGTTCTCTGAATAGAATAGAATAGAATCCAATGCGCATACCTGGGGCTGCTACATCGGTAGCAGGTAGTAGGTCTGGCTGGTAATCCCAATTACATGTCTACATAATGTAATGAAGAGAAGAGTAAGCTGTACAAAGGCAGAGGAGAACCCGAGGGCCCAAGAGCCCAAAGGGGGGAATGTCAGGGGGTGTAAGTACATTTTTGAAGGCACGTTGCAGCAACATGTCATGCGGATTCGTGGTCATCATCTCCGACACCGCTGGTGGGCTTGATATAGACAGACAGATAGACACAGACCACCAAAAATCCCAGCCTCAGCCGCCGCCATTGCCGTCCTGCACGATGCCCATTGTTATTCTCAGTGCCCTTCCACATCAGATTTTCCAAGACGGAACATGTTAGCCGTCACACACACACACACTCTCTCTCTCTCTCACACACACACACACACATTATCACCATGTGCAGCTCCACTCTCCCGTGATCCCGTCACTTCTAAGATGAGAGCCGACATATCGTCCGATTTTTGTAGAATCCCTTCTTCGCGTCATCTCTAAACCTGTCCTTTTGGTGTCACCCACAGGCAGGAAGCGCCGAGACGGAAGTAACGAGATTGAAAGGTCGCAAAACTTTTGGTACAACAGGGTCAAACAAGTGGCCCCGAATTTGGACGTCGAAGCAAGCCGAGGGCTATGAGTTTTTCACGACTCCGACCTTGGCCGCTCTCACAACACGCCCGTTCAGTTTATATCCCTTGCTCTGGGTGTAAAAGACATCACCGTCCTCTTTGCCCTCGACTTTTGTGAAGAAAGTGGCCTCGTCCGTGTTGGGGTCGAATTTGCGCCCTCCGCCCTCCAGGGGGTCGAAGCGCTCCAGACCGTGCTTTTTCAACGTGGACATGAGAATTTCTTCCGTCATCTTCAGGCCCGAGAACAGATTGACCAGGTCCTTGTTGGGCTCCGAGGTGGATGCGGCAGAGGCGGCGACATTAGGTTCGGAGGAAGAGGCGTTGGTCCCAAGGGCTTCTTGAGGCACCGATGACAGTGCCCGATCCAGGTTATCTATTGAATCGAGTAAGTCGGAGGCGAACCGCTGGATGGCAAACTGGCGAGCGGATTCCATGTCTCGACGGGTTCGCTCTTGAAGGTTGCGGTAGTCTGCAACGGAGCGGAGGTATTTGTCCTAGAGAGCCCAAAGTATTAGCCCCCGTTGCATTATCCAGAGCACACATTGCGGAATCCGCACAGTACCTTCAAGTCGATAACCTCCTTTTTGGCCTTCTCAAGCTCTTCCTTTAGAGGGTCTGCCTTTGCCTCCTCCGCGGCTTTTGCCTCTTCTGAAGGAGCCGCTTCCGTGGAAGGCTTCTGTGGCTGCGCGTCGGTGGATTGCCATCTCTGTCCTATCCGTGTTGAGAGGTAGGCGTTTCTGGATGTCCGGGGAGATATGAAGGTGGCGGAAGAAAATGGCGACTGGCGTATCCGTGACGGAGACGCAGATAGTGAGTCTGAGATGGTGCGCACCTGGCGAAGTAATTGCTTCCGAAACATCACGTGGACGGAGAGGGAGAGTAGACTTGAGAAAGTACAGGGACGATAAAAGGCTTTGATTGCGATGAGCTTGAGGGAAAGCTGTTTTGTGTATGGGATAGAAAAGTTATCTGGCCGTCAAGAAGTATTGAGAAATTTAGTCAAAGCACACACGACTCGGCGTCCAAGCTCCGAGCAAAGGCCATTTCGGTAGAGTCGCTGCTTTAACAGTGTTCGGAAAAGGTGCCCCTTTGGGACTGCTCTGCTCCATAACAAACATGAAGAATCAACGAGAAAAGAGACAAATGTCTGCATACGAACAAATCATTGATGCTGATTTCTGTTCTTCTCTGATGCCGCCTAAGTATTGGTACTGGGACCGATGAACCACCAGACTCCTCGCGCAGCCATCCTTGTGCCTGTCCACCAAGGTTTGGTCTTGTGTCAAATTACCAGCACGCCTCCACGTCCAGCATTTCGACCCAACTCGTCCGGAAGGAAGCCATCGCTGCTAATCTCACTGGTCGACATTGTGAGTGCCTAGCACCGTGTTTTTTATGTGTCTTGCCAGGGCCAATGTAAAACTCACAACCCGTGGCAATTGAGCCCTGTCCGCTGCGTTGCTCGTGTAGTTCACTTTCTCGAGGTAATAGGCGTTACCCCCAATGAATTTGGCCACGGCCGATGGATGTGGGATCGTGGTCTTGATCGGAAGCGTGGCTGCTCTGACTCGATGGATCAAAGCAAAACCCAGGCCAAACACCCTCCGAGGTCGAGGCATACTGGCGGCACTGCTTGTTTTGTTCTGGGCCATGATCATAGCCTCATTAGCTCCCATGAGCTTAAGCTTGCCAATTGCGTCCGAGGTCATGTTGATGGTTGGGTGAATGGCTGCCCCGGCGTGTCGCGCAAGAACGAAAGGAAACCCCAAGAACTTCAAGGGCAGAGGCACCGGGGCAGTTTCACTCACTCCCCCTGTTGCACCTCTGCCCCCAGCGCCCTGAACCCCTGCTTTTGCGGATCCCCTTCCAACATCTCCTCCTTCTGTTCCGTGACCGCCATCACTGCCGCCATCACTGCCGCCGTGACCACCACCGTGACTGCATCCGCCTCCTTTCTTGATATCTGCGCCAGGGACAGATGCCTCGGGAGAGAGGTTCTCTTCTTCAAAGCACACATCACCAACCACGCCGTCGCTGGCAGATGTGTCGCTCACAGGATAGCCCAAACCGAGATTCATCCAATGTGCGAGGCCAACAAAGACCCTCGGCGCTCTGTGCGCACTCGCAGCGCTGGAAGCTGGCCAGCTACCCGTGGCGAGCTCGGTGACGGGACTGGACAGGCCAGTACAGGAAGCACCGTGTGCGCAACAGGCTCCGTTTTGGAAAATGTCCACGGTGCAGTAAGTATTTGCCGGACAACAGTTGCCTGCGGTATTGCAAAAGGACATTTCCCCCTCGCACACGCCCCTACCCTTCGCTAGCAACGAGGGGAGGATCAAGTGGTTGACTGTGGTGGTTGTGGAAGGACGTATCAGGACTGTCGTTGGAATCGGCATGCGATGGTATGGCTGTGTATCAAGTATTGTGTCGACCTTGTGATTGAGACCCAAGGCAAGATCACCCAAGGCCAGAAGGCTTAGAGACGCAAATAGAATTTTCATCATATCGAATTCCTTTGATGTCGGTTCCGCAGGTTGAAGGCGTCGCTAGTAGGGACCAAGTTTTCTTAGGGGAGAGAGGGAATATGTTTATAACGACAAAAAAGAAAAAGAAAAGCCATCAGCGCCTGAATGAGATTTCACTTTTCCGTTTACATATCGCCGATTTCATGACAAAGTCAATCACCCCCGAAAGAGTCTCACGAAAAGGGGTTGTTTGATCTTCACTCCCAGTCGTTTGTAAGGCGGCAACAGATGGATAAGTATGTCCTTCAATTCAGGGGGACCACTCGGGCAAACCGAGAGCACACGTATCAACTGGTGATTCCTGATGAACAGGTGATTGGTGCCGTGATATATAGAGAAATATCCAAGGGAAGGGTGATAAAGACAAACCGATATAGGGTTGGCAATCAAGCAACATCTTTTATTTTGCCCATTGTTTCATCTCCAGTCTGGCTGTATCGCTTACAACTAGTCACGAACTATCACATAGATATTCCATGCCAATGTTTCTTCCGTTGGGGACACGATGAGTTTCGTCCGGGTGTCAGAAGTGATGTTGGTAGGGATTGAAGCGGACAAGGTTGCCAGGATTCTGAATAGTCACCACAACTTCCACATCACCGTCCGGCTGTTTGATCTGAGCCTAGATCTTGGTTTCTATCCGAAGCAACATCTTGACTTGACTTCGAGGTAATCGTAGTGCTGGTCGTACTAGGCGCGGCGCTCTGAAGAGAACTATTTCAGCTTGCATTCTAAGGGTGAGCCTCGCAACAGCCGAGATATCTCAACTATGATGGCATCCAGAGAGGAGCTCGCCCACCTGTTGGGCGCCAGCTTCCTTGTCTTTATTGCGCTGGTAACCGATAGGTCGAATTCTTTCGTAGGAGTGCAGTCGGGTGAAATGTTCCGTGGATGTATTCGAGGCCATCAATCCTAGTCAGTCGTAGGTTTTTGTGACAGTCTTGGTCAAGATAGGGCCTGTATCGAGGGAGATTCAGGTGCAGCGGCCGTATAAGTTGTAAGGACTGCGATGTCGTCTTGAGGCCACCTGGGCTGAGAGCCGGTTTTGTACATGATTGAACTCCGAAGTGGCCTGACTGCTCTCGCTCATCATTGTCGCGAGGGTATGATTGGTCCTGATTGTCAGAACACTGCCAGCGCACTGTTCTGGAGGAGTTTCGGCCCCGTAACTGCAGCAAGTTCTGCCGCCATGCCTTTCATAGTATCCGGGTCGTCAATTTTCCCATCTTCCCAGTCCCGGAGATCCTACAAAGTGGTTAGTAAGACGCTGATCGACCCTCGGAAGCTGGGAGCTTATACCTCTAACTCGATCAGAGTGTTGCCTACGACGAGGCGCCAGTGGTCGAGATCAAGACGTTTCACTTCATCTTTCGTCAGCACACCGGGTATCTCGTAATCAAACAAGGATCCTTCGGGTATTTCCGCATCTTCCTCGTCGCTTGGGGGTTCGTCGAACTCTAGATCTTGTTCATCGTCAAACATTCGTCCTCTTTCTTTCGTGGTTTTAGGAGCAGGGCCGCTATCCGAAGTCCCTCTGGCACCTGCTTGTTGAATGGTGCCCTCGGCAGCATCCACTCCACGTTTCCGATCACGGGACGGAGAGACGTATTTCCTCTTGTCGAGCTCCTGGCGATATTTATCATCGAAAAGATTCCATTCATAGCTCTCTGGGTCTAAAGAGTCGTCAGCGAAGGGTGTGGCATGTAACAGGTTGACATACCGAGGATGTAGGTCGGACAGAAAGCGGCTTTGTAGCGCATCTTTGTACATGAGTGGATATAATAGCCTACTTGTGATGAGCCAGTAAACACGCGGAAGGCACTCTCAACACACCCATGTAATAGTACTCGTAACCGACTTCTTTGGCCAGCGATATCTCTCGCAGAGCACTCATCTTTCCCAGATCCCAGGCCTCGTAGTCAGGATCATAGCTTGTGAGTGATGAGTAGTGTATTCCAAGTTGAAAAGATCAGAACTTACAAGAGATAGACTGAGCTGACGGCATGGGGTAGAAGGTCGAGAACTGCAACAGCCACCAGCTTTCCATCAAGGCGATAGCACTGGTGGTACGACCCCAGTTTGAGTGTCTTGCCGCCGATCTTGAGAATCTTCCGGTCAAGACCAGTGCATAAGAATCGCTTGAAGTCAGACTCTTTCCACCGTGATGCAGGGTCTTTGTGTATCCGCAACTGATATTTCAAGAAGATCTCGTATCTGACGCTTGTGAGATGTAGGTCGCAAGCTCGTGCTGATACTCACTTCTCCTTTGTGAAGCTATCGCCTTCGAGATTGACCTCGAACCTATGAGCAGGTTCAATGGACACACCAGTCTTTTTGCCCACTGGACGCTTAACATTGTCGTATTCCGCTTTGTGGACCGCGGTCGACAGGTCAAATTTGTCTCTCAGACGGCGCTTTTCCCTGTGCATGTTAGCTGCATTCCCACAACCATGCGCTTCAACTTGCTCTCGCGATTGTGGACACAGCATAGCAGCTTTTCGTTTGTATTCTGGGCCAAGAACGTAGTTGTTCCATCGATTCATCACTTGTCGTTGGTCTTTCACGGGTCGGAATTCTGATGCCTTGAGACTGTGGATATTAGCGGGCCTCCACCATATTGTTTTTGTTGTAAAGCATCTCATACCGTATCGTGTAGTGGGGACAACATGAACGCAGGAGGTCCGGTTTGTAATAGAGCGATCCTGATCTCCTCCAGCCCCTGTCCATCAGGTATTGATAGTGATCGACTCGCATGTTGTCACACGACATGTAATACGAGGAGCCTGCACTTTCAGCTAAGGCCTCTGCAAAAGAAAACATAGACAAGGGGTAGGTGGCAAATAACGCCAGGGCGCTGGGGAAGGACGGTGACCTACTGCCTGCGGCATTCTTGCAATATCCACACCAATTCTTTCTCTGATAGCCTGATCACAGTCAGATTCAATCATCTGCTCGACGCAGGGGAGCCAGCCTCGCTGAACAGGTGGCCAACATAATATGATAGCCCGGGACAAGCGGGTCGGGCCATGGCTCATGTTTGTGAAGGAATCAGGGTCAGTTGTCCGTCGCAAATAGAACTTACCAAGGGGCTTCAAAAGTGAGATTTCGTTTGTCATGATCAACTGCGAGCACTAGTGGATCCCCTGCTCAAGCCAAAGAAGGAATATCTGAGCCTTCACGCATTACACAAGTATCTTTGAATGGACAAGTCGGTCTCCCAGCGAAGGCAGAATGACGACTCACTCGCGGCTCAATATGATGTCACCTGGTTCCCGTTGGCAGGCAGACAATGACGAATTCCCATTAATATCCAAGGTCACAGGCGGTCCGACACAAGGGCATCAAAGGAGCAACTCATCAGCCGGAGAACCCCCAGTCATATCCAGGCAATACTTCCCGTGGAACTCGTTCGTGGGATATGCACACGACTGGCTCCGAGGCAACCAATGGAGGATACTCTGGCAGTGCGCGGTGTACTGGTGTACTGGACCTTAAAGGCTGGAACACAACGCAGCAGTCTTTTAGGAGAGAACCCCCACTTCCTGCCTGGATCTTGGGCGCTCGCGTGAGCAGTCTGAGGAGGGGCACCGTTAGCCCCGAGGCGAACTGGAGGTTGTTTGGATGAGCGGTGTTAAGGGCGAGCAAGCCGAGGAACCGTAACTGGAAGCGTCGAGGCAAGCAGAAAAGGCGGTTAGGAGGGAGAAAGACGGGGGGTCGAGTATCAGAAATTTAGACCAGTATAAACGTGAAGATGGGCACGTGTATGTTCGTCGTGTGCTTCGATTCGAAGGGGGGAATGGCGTGGAAGCGGTGGAAGCGTTGGAAGTGGACACGGAAGCGGTTTGGAGTGACATGGGCCAGCAAAGGACGCAGCGATTCGAGCGAACGAGATGTGCTGGAACCTAGCAATTAGTCGGTTGACAAGCCTCTGATGCCGTTTGGGAAGCCAAATAAAATACCAAAAATCCCACTCGATGAAGTGAGGGAGTGCCTGGTCGTTCTCCTGCCGCAGTGTCTCTAGCCGCATCAGTCATGAGGCATGAGGCACGAGGGACGTCGATGGACCATGAGCGAGCAATGAATCAAGCATGCAGCATTAAAAGCAAAAGAGAATGGAACATGGCTTGATGGTCTCGCATGCCTCGTTCCCTGTCCCCTGGCACCGCTGGGTCACTGGTGGGAAACTGCGATTCGCCATTGCCCGCCCTCGCCCAGGTCAGGAAATCGCCGCTACCGATGTTTTTTTTCGTGCTCCCCCATGAGTGTCCACCCACTATGCACCTGCACCTCCGACACTCAACTGCCAAAAAAACTAAACTTGTCCAAAAGGCTACATAACTATGGCTATACCCTTCCTCAGGATGCTCTACACGTCAACTTCGTTCCCTCAGCCCCGTGCCACACGGGACTGAAGGTCTCCCTCATTCATGCGCTGTATCGCACACCCAGCTGCTATCGTCACCATGGGTCATCTTTGATCCCCTTCGTCTTCTCTTTCTAGAGACTGACCTCGCCGCCTTGCACCCGGGAGCAGCTCGATAGTGTTCCCACGTGCCTCCCTTCACCGTCTCTTTCTACGTTCGCTTCTGCCACTTTGTTAGCCTAGAATATCCTCCGAGACAGTCGTACCCAAACGGTCCTTTCCTTTAAGACTTCTGGCTTGTGGCCGTCCGTCCAAGCCCGGCGGTTCCCACAATCATGGCCAAAGAAATGTCCATGACCTCTCGCACCGGCACGGCCAATCAGCGTATGTATGCCACTGCTTTTTTTTTTTTTAGGTCAGCTTGAATTTCTCGTGCTCATCGTGTCGCAGGCTATGGAACAAAGGGCGAGAGACTGGTCGCAGGTGTTGTCCCCTTGTCTGCAGACAAGACCCGAGTTCTACTCATTCAGTCCTCCCGGCGTAATGGCTGGGTGCTCCCCAAAGGCGGCTGGGAATTAGATGAAGCCTCGGCGTCAGTTGCTGCCGTCCGAGAAGCGTGGGAAGAAGCCGGGATCATCTGCAAGGTCGAAAGAGACCTGGGTCACATTCCGGATACGAGGCCAACAACTGCCGTTACGAAACACGCTCCTAAAGCGAGTTACCACTTCTTCGAAGCTGTCGTGACCGAGGAGAAGGATAACTGGCCCGAGAAGAACAAGAGATCCAGGCAGTGGTATGCTTATGCACAAGCAGTTCAGCTACTGAACTCCCGGCCCGAGTTGTTGGAGGCTTTGAGGAGGAGTTCGGTCAAGAAATGAAAAGAATTGGATGAGCGGTCGTGTCTAGACAGCCTACATCAATGCCGGTTAGAGAATACCCGAAGAGAAGCCTTGCGGAAGATGACAACTGAAGGGCTTGATCATTGTCTTACTGCTGCGTTGGTCCTGGCAGGCGATCCAAGGAACAACAGCGGCCTTTGGGCGGTTGCCACTGAGAGCATTAGCTCAAGCATCGAATAGAAGACCCCAGAGTTCACATGAGCAACTGCATATTGGTGCTGTGAACGCATCGACCCCTTGGGATCAAGGGCGACATATGCAGGAGTGACCTGGCAAAACAGTACCATGGGGCTCACACTGCCCTCAAATGATAGCGTTAACATCTATGGGAACCTTGAGCCAAGTACTATCTATTCCTGAACCAATCGAATTTTTGCGCATCAGCACGGTACGATTGCTCTGGTTATTGTTGAACCCACGAATGTTAGTAGACACTTTCGGCGGCCCAATACACAGGTCTGGAAGCTGCATGATAGACACAGACTGAAAGCAGTACAACAATGCATCGGACCATGTACGTAGCTGTATTGGAGGAGTGTGTTGGCTGCCACTGGTTTCATCTGGGTCTATGTACAATATCCATGCCACCCTGGGCTTGCCGTGAGAACTCCGCGTCTGTAGGCCGGGTTTTTTCTTCTTCCATCTGCATCCCGATAACTCATTCGACTCTCTAGTGCTCCAAGTCGACGGGAAAGTTTCCAGCTTCACGCTGATCGTCCCACCTATGAACCCAGGAGCTAGGGCACAGCGATCGATATGCCAAATAGAACTGAGACAGGTCAGCATGAGTCCCGGTCTTTTGGCCATGGGCATATACCTGTCTGCATGGCTTGAAATCTTCGCCCTTTGCAAGAATACACTTGTGATAATCGACGTAGTTTTGCCAACAATGTTTTGTCCTAGAATACCCACGATTAGGCTGCTGGATGTTTTCGGCCACGGTGGAAGGGAACGTACTGGTTCTGGTTGGGGAAACGGGCGTCGTATCCAGCTGTTATATCGTTAGCACGAATTTCAAAGCAGTCGTGGACCTGGAAGCATTCGTACCCGTAACAAACTTGAAGGGTTTGGTGACGTTTCCGCCGAGCTCCTCAGCGTCAGGGACCTCAATTTGAGTCATCTTGGCAGGTGGTAGGATCCTCTTGTGAACGCGGTGGAATATAGACAGAAGCTCGAGTGCTGAGGTTGAGTTGAAAAAGGAAGCTTCAGAGGGGAGGTTGTCACCTGAGGACTGCAATGAGGTTGAAAGTCGGAGGTTGCAGAAGCTACTAAGGCGTAACAAGAGTGGCCTGATTCTGATTGGCTGTCGTACTGCACAGAGCTTGGGAGCAACTTCAACTGCGACCAACTCCAACGTCACTCTTCCTCGTCCCAAACATCTCTCTCTTCAGCTTCGCTTCCAACTCTCCACTCCGCCTCCAAGCACACAGCAAGGATGAACACTGTGAGACTCTTGAGGCTGCAACCCCTTCGGGCAGCTGGCATGCGGCAAGCTGCCTTCCGTCAATCCGCCCAAAAACAGACTGCCAGACCATTCCACAACACCCGAACCAGGTTCAGGGCTAAGGTGAGCAGGAGTATGTGCCGGATGGTTAAAGACTCATACTAATTATCTCTAACAGGAGGACGACCAAAGCGGTAAGACGGGCCGACATATAGACCTTCGACCAAGCAACTGACCTTGACAACCCGCAGCGCACACCATCACCCAGAGAATTCGCATGCTTAAGAGAATCCCCCCGGAGTTGCTCCCTCTCGGCGTTGTCATTTCGTACGTATATCCGTTCTTAATGAACTTGGAAGCACAATTGAGCAAAAATACTGGATCTCGAGACAAATACTGATACGTTTTCTTGCCGTTGTAGCTTCGCCTTGTTCGCTGCTTGCTTTGCTATGGCTAGGAAGCTCTTCACTGACAGGACCCTTCGCTTGCAGCGGTCTCAACAGAAACATTGAGAAGGAAATGGTAGCATATGGAGATTGGCAGCAAACAGACGTGTGAACAATGGAGAGTCTCTGCTATATCCTAAATTGCTGAGAGTGGAGATGATTCCGAGCCTTGCGGATTGTGTATATAACACGGCAGCCAGAAGGGAAATTGACAGTCTTTTCTGAGATTTGTTGACACCATATTGATCTTCATCTCAGCGCACTTTCCGGCAACCTCGCTGGTGCCGAAGTAATTCGGCTTTGCCAGCTCTCTTCTTAACCCTTTCCGACTTCTCCAGAAGACTGTGCTTGTCTTTCATCTGCTCGGCATGGCAAACTCGATGTTGATGACAGTGGCTGCCTTATTTCCCTGACTTCTGCAGGAACTGCATATTTCCAGCGCTACGATTGGCGCTATTGGATGGTTAGGCCCTTGCCTACCACCATTGCTGCTGTTTTTTTGGTTGGAGCCATTTCAATCTCGTGATGGCGTTGATCTCGTCCGGTCATCTCTTCGCTCACTCGGGTTTCGGCCCAGCAACATCTAGACCCTCTAATCCATCCATGGGATCTGCGGGCCTCTCGTTCTTTGCGCTTTCCACAGCAGCCTTGTCCTCGTTCGCTGTACCATATTTTGCTAGATAGTCCTCCTTGATTGCCACAAGGTTAGCACTCTTCCTCCCTAGCTAGTCTAACAAGAGAAAGAATGACCAAACTAAACATAAAAGCATCGACAAATTTCAGCCACACTCACTTGTTCCCAGATAGCGGTGGTGCTGCCCAACCCAACTTGTCCGGTTTCCTTTCTGTCGGGTTTGGCCATTGCTACCTTGATCACCCGTCCGTAAAGCTCACTCTGATCCATGTTGTCGATTGCTTCCTTTGCATCAGCCGCATCCTCGAACTCAACATATCCAAAGCCGCGGTGCAAATCTGTCGAAGACGGCGCCTCAGGCTTGGGTAGCGTTATGTCCACTATTTCGCCAAATGGGACGAACGCCTCCGAGAGAGTTGTGGCGGTCACAAGATTGGTGTCGAGACCGCCAACGTAGATTGTACTGTTTGGGCGATTTGGTCCCTCCGCCATTCTCGTGCTTCTCGACCCTGCACGGACTCGAAAAGAGAGGCTCAAAGTCGAAAAAATGTGGAATACCAAGATCACGTGGGATTGAGGTCTGCCTGTGCTGCCAGCCTAAGCTGCGGCTGCGGAGTTCAACATATGGGGGGTCAGGGATGACGCTGGGAGGCCACTAATCGTTTTGCGGCCCTAAAACCTTCTGGACAAACGACGGTGTCCAGATTGGAAAGTTGAAATCCTCAGATGTATCAGAGTGGAAGATGAGACCAGCTGGTTGCTAAATTGTGATTCTCCTGTCTATCTGTTCACTTGAAGCTTGTTTCTTTCCTGCTGCATGACTTAGCCTTTCTTTACTCCTGTTTACCTCTCTTCCTCCCTTGAAGCAGCCCAGCACCACATCCCGCCATGGTGCGCCTCAGGGAAATTCCGCGCACAGCGACTTTCGCGTGGTCTCCCGATGCGCCCTCATCTTGGATCGCAACTGGCACAAAGTCTGGTGCCGTCGACGTCGATTTCAGCAATGAAACTTGTCTAGAACTTTGGGATCTCGCATTGGACAGTGGTGAACAGAGTCAAGAATTGCAGCCCTCCGTCACCATCCCTACTGAGACGGGGTATGTGGTTCTATCCGTTGTTAGTACGTCCACTGACGAGTCGCAGCTTTCACGACATTGCTTGGACACCGGCCCAGGCTGGACACAAGAGAGGGATTATTGCTGGAGCATTTGACAACGGGCTACTTGGCTTGTGGGATGCGGATAAGGCCATCACGAGCACGGGAGAAGCCTCCATTTTCACCCACAAGATACACAGCGGGGCAATCAAGGCCTTACAGTTCAATCCCAAGATACAGAATTTTCTCGCAACGGGTGGTGCCAAGGGAGAACTCTTCATCTCAGACCTGAACCACCTCGACACCCCTATACGACTTGGAAGTACCGCTGCCCGAGCAGACGATATCGATTGCCTCGATTGGAACAAGAAGGTGTCAAATATCCTGGTCACGGGAAGTAGCGGAGGATTTGTGACAGTATGGGACATGAAAACAAGGAAAGAGAGCTTGACGCTTAACAACTTTCAACGCAAACCGGCCAGTGCTATTGCTTGGGATCCCGAAAAGCCCACACGATTGATCACTGCTGTGCCGCTGGAGCAGGAGCCTGTCATTCTGGTCTGGGATCTGAGAAACTCGAACGCGCCCGAAAAGGTGCTTCGCGGGCATGACTCGGGGGTTCTTTCGGTCGCTTGGTGCCCACAGGATCACGACCTCCTGCTATCTTGCGGCAAGGATAACAGAACCATACTATGGAACCCCCAGACTGGAGACGCCTATGGCGATTATCCAGTTGTGACAAACTGGACGTTCCAGACAAGGTGGAACCCTCATAACCCGAACATGTTTGCGACCGCGTCTTTCGATGGCAAACTCCAAATCCAGACTCTACAGAACACCAATCCGAGCACCACGCAGACAGACCAGAGCCAGGCTGCAGATGGAGAGGACTTCTTCTCCAGAGCTCAGACACAACCTCAGACTTCGTCTTTCTCCCTTACCAAGGCACCGAGGTGGCTGGAGCGACCCGTTTCCGTGTCTTTTGGCTTCGGTGGAAGAATCATCAGTGTGAAACAAGCAGACCCTGGGAAATCAAGAGCTTCAAAGATCTGCATCAGCAAATTCGAGGTCGACTCAGATGTCGGGAGCGCAACGGAAACCTTCGAGAAAGCCCTTCAGTCAGGTGATCTCACCAGCCTGTGTGAGGCCAGGGTTGCATCTGCAAGGACTGAGGAAGAGAAGGCTGATTGGAAGGTCATTGAGACTCTGGTATCTAAGAACCCTCGAGCAGAGCTGGTGAAATACCTAGGTTTTGAGGACAAATCCGAAGACAGCGCAAATGGTGTTGAGCAGCAGACCCCAGAGGACGACAATTCCAATTCAGAAGAGCAAAAGCCGTCCGTCAACGGCGCCTCAAAAGCTCACAAACGGTTCCAATCTATTTTCGCAAGCTCCGCCGATGGTGACTTTTTGGCAGAGTTGGCGGCCACGAAGGGTACCAGGACTAATAATCCCTTCCAGATATATACGGGATCCGAGTCCCAGGCAGACAAGCAGATTACAAGAGCCTTGATACTGGGACAATTTGAGAAAGCTCTAGACGTGTGTTTGCAAGAGAACCGAATGTCGGATGCCTTTATGATCGCTATCTGCGGCGGCGAAGCCTGTATCAAGAAAGCTCAGGAAGCATATCTCGCAAAACAATCTGGCGGACCCAACTACCTGCGCCTACTCGCTTCGGTCGTGGGCAAAAATCTATGGGATACAGTTCACAATGCTGATCTCACAAATTGGAAGGAAGTCATGGCTACGCTGTGCACGTTTGCTGATGAGCAGGAATTTCCAGATCTTTGCGAAGCGCTTGGCGACAGGATTGAGGAACAGACCGATGATCTTTCTCCTGTCTCACGGAAAGATGCTTCTTTCTGCTTCTTGGCTGGCTCCAAGCTGGAGAAGGTTGTCGCCATCTGGATCCAAGAGCTCAAAGAGCATGAGGAGGCGGGAGCCTCGGAAGCGGACGCATCTTCAGCATTTTCACTACACGCTCGTGGTCTTCAAGACTTCATCGAGAAGGTTACCATCTTCCGACAAGTGGTCAACTTTAAGGACGGAGAGCTGTCCAAAACCGGGGAGTGGAAGCTGGAAGCTTTGTACGGCAAATATCTGGAATACGCCGACATTGTCGCTGGTTCAGGCCAGCTAGACGTTGCCCAGAAATATCTAGATCTGCTTCCAGCAAGCTATCCAGGTGCGGATGTTGCAAGGAGCCGCATCCAACAGGCAAGAAAGAAGACTGCCACTCCAGCTGCTGTTCCTCAAGCTGCCCCTATAACGACGAGAAACAAACCCCTGCCTGGCATGTCACAATTTCAGCCTCCAACAACTGCGTTTACGCCACCAGCTCCTCAAGGTCCGACTCCCTATGCCCCAAGTACCTTACAGCCGAGCAATCCCTACGCGCCACCCACGGCCATCAGTACCCCATCCAATCCATATGCTCCCGTTAGCGGTAGCTACCAACCCCCACAACAGATGAGAATGCCGCCCGGCCCTCCTCCCCCTGGTCCATACGTCACCCCACAGCCAAATCCCATCCAACCGCCTCCCAGGTTCAATCAGTCTCCAGCCATTCCTCCGCCATCTCAAGACAAAAGTATGTCCAACTGGAATGACATCCCGGAGGGGTTTGTCAAACCTCCCACTTCGAGAAGAGGCACACCCAGCGTCCCACCGCAGCCTGTTCAGAATCCATTCAGCCCACCACCACCGCAAGTGACCTCTCCTCCCACGGCTCCGCCTTTTGGTGCGAGACAGAGAGCCTCGCCAGTTCCCCCTCCACCAAAAGGGACGGGTCCACCTCCGCGAGTAACGTCTCCTCTAGGTGGCCAGCCCTCTTTTGAGCGACCCGCATCGGCAAGCAATCCTTATGCGCCGCCGACTGTGACATTACCCCCCCTTGGGCAGAATATCATGTCGCCGCCGATCCCCAGGGGTCCATCTCCATACAACGCACCTCCTTCTCACGCTCCCACACCCCCCAACAGATATGCACCGGCAGGAGGCAGCCAGCATACGACTGCTCCTAGTACACGTCCATCTATCGCACCGCCGCCCCAAGGCTCGTCCTTCCAAACGCCTGCTCCGCCGTCAAACCCCTACGCCCCGACCCAGCAAGCACAACCAACGCGGCAGACGAGCTACGGTCCACCGCAACCAATACAGATACCGCAGTCAGCTACAGCGCCACCAATACCGACACCCCAGCAACAATTCATCTCCTCGGGACCACCCCCCACAGGAAGTGGGCCAGGAGTCCAAAGACCACCGTCTCGGCCTGGCACTGCGGGTTCAAACAAAGCTTCCGCTGCACCTCCGGTGCGAAAGTATCGTAAGTTGAAAACGTCGTCGTATCTGATTCTTTGAAACTAACGGATTCTCGTACAGCCAAGGGCGACCGGACACATATTCCCCCTTCTGCCCAACCAATCTATACCATCCTCTCGTCCGAGATGGCGCGTGTCAAGGCTCGAGCTCCACAGTCATTTAAAGCACAAGTGGTTGATACCGAGAAACGGCTAGATATCCTCTTTGATCATCTGAACAATGAGGATCTGCTTAAACCGGATACAGTGGCGCAACTAGTTGAGCTAGCGCAAGCACTAGAAGCAAGGGATTTTACCAGGGCGCAGGAGATACAGATGGACGTGCACACGAATAAGGTGGAGGAGTGCGGCCAGTGGATGGTGGGTGTGAAGAGGTTGGTGGGCATGTGCAGAGCCACCCCTTGAGGTGTTGTTGACAACACTTGGAAGGCTGTCGACATGTCGACCTGGGCGAGGGTAAAGTTTTCTGAGCAGGACGACGGGGAAGGGTTTTCTATGAAGACGAGCATGACTACACGATTTCCCATGCTAAGGCGGGTGGCTGGGTGGTAGGATAGAAGAATATGGCGGACATGACTAAAAAAGTGCAAAACCCTCTGGTGCCCTTGCCAGGACGGCCGACTTGACTTGTATTCGGAGCGGAGCAAGCGACAAACAACATCTTCTCCTCCTCTGCTAGTCTTCTACTCTCCTGCCCTGCCAGTCTTTTAGCCTAGAGTACCGTCATCCACCATGTAGAGCGACATACGTACGTCCACGCGAGCCACTTACATACATACATACATACTCAGTAGACAAGACGGACGAATGAATGACGATATTTGAGAAGAATGGCTTGCAGAACCATCCATGCATGCATGGACGAGTACCCTAAGTATTCAAGACAGAAAGAGGCGTACATGGCCCGCACAGGCCGTCTATACATATAATGTGTCCAACAGCGTGGTGGGTTGGACTGGCCTGCCTCTCTTGGTCACGCGAAGAGGACCTGGTATAGGTGGGTGGATAGAACATCACCATCAAAGGGGCTTTCATGGGCAGACGCAGTAGCAATAGCAGAAGCGGGGTTTTGC